AATAATTCTTTTCTTAATATACTATAGAGAGAACTTTAGAATAAAAATATCTCTTAGTTAGAGGTTTTATTTAAAGTGAATTTTATGATTTATACTAAAATAGTTTAAAAATAAGGGATATAGCTTAATAAGCTTAAAGAACTTATAAACTTATTATAAATATATTATAATAGTCTTCTAAAGTAATTTTTTAGTTTCTTTATTTTAAGTACTTTCTTAATATCTTTTAAATTTATAGTTTATATCCCTATTAATACTTTAAATAGCTAACTTTTATTAACTTTCTAATAAATTACTATAAATAAAGTAGTATTTAGTTAATAAACTTCTTAGATTTCTCTTATTCTTTAAAACTCTTTTTATTTTTATAAAGTAATAATAACTTCTACCTTTTTATAGAATATCTACTTCTCTATTATAATATATATAATATTATTTTATTTTATTTATAGTTTCTCTAAGAAGAGGTTAATATCTAGGGTTAGCAAACTAGTCAGCTAGTATTTAGTTAGACTAGTGACAACTAGTCTAGTTAGACTTAAGTCAGCTAATTTAGTTAACTTAACTTAACTAGCCTAGTCTTAGTCACTATAGTGACTTAACTTGACTAGTACTAGTTGACTAGCTAGTCTGACTAGTTGACTAGTTGAAATAAATAAAAATCAAATAAAAATATTATATTTATTATAATAATTGTGAATTAATATTAATAATAACTAATAATAATAATAATAACTAAAAAGTAATAACAACTAATAATAATAATAATAATAATAATAATAATAATAATAATAATAATAATAATAAGTAATTAATAATAACTATATATATTATTAATTANTATAGGTTAAAGTGCTACTATTAGGTTTAAAGTATAGGGAAAAAAAAGTATAGAGTAAACTATAATACCTACTTATATAGGTTAACTAGACTGCTAATATACTAACTATATATATAGTAAGTATATAATAAGAAAGCGTTATATATTTATTAAGTATAAATATACTTAATATTATATAGGCTTAAATAATAGAGACTAATAGATGCTCTATTTTAATTAACTATAAAGGACTTATAGTTACCTTTATAGTATATAAGTTGTTTATATATACTAAGTATATATAGTTAAATAGAGACTTATAGATACTCTATTTTAATTAACTATAAAGGGCTTATAGTTGCCTTTATAGTGTTATAATTATATATTATAATCTATATAAAAAAAGAAACTATATATCTAGAGTATTAATATTAGTATAAGTTAATATTATTATAGTTATAAAAAGACTTACTTAAATAAAAGAAGTTTTTTCTTCTTCTTTTTCCTTATTATTAATAATAATAAAAGGATCTTTTTAACTATTAGCTATTAGAAATATATAAATATAAAGATATAAAAACTTACTTTATAAATAAACTTTATATGAAAGAATATTTATATAGATATATATAAATAAAAAATATTCTTATAAGTAATATAATAGTATTACTTAAATAAAGAGGTTATAGTAATTTAGGAAGTAATTAAGGAAGTGATTTAGGAAGTAAAAAGTGAGAGAAAGTAGAAAGTATATATCTTAAGATCTTAGTTTCTAGAATATTCTATAGATTAATAATTAGTAGTACAGATTAATAATATAGATTAGAAATCTAATTATATTACTAATTAGAGTTATTAATTAGTAGTATAGATTATTAATATTGATTAGTAAGTAGAAGTTTCTAGAAATCCTAATTAGTAAGAAATAGAAGTTTCTAGAATTAAAGATTATTAATAGGTATTACTTTAACTAGGTTACTTATCTTTTAATTTCAAAGCTTCTAATTAAGTCTTATTATTAATTCTAGCTTAATTATTACTAATTAATAATTAAAATCCTATATTATTAATTAATAATTAGTAATTAGTAGTAGCTTAGTAGTTATATTATTAATTCTTAGAAACTTCTAGAAAAGCTATAAAAGAATAAAAAGACTATTAATTCCCCTTTCTTACTACTTTTTGTTTCTTTCTTTTATATAGTAAAATACTATAATTACTATTATACTATAAGTTATAACTACTACTTAAATCTTTAAAAATACCTATTTATTTATTCTTTTTTAAGAATATTAAAATGGATTCTTTTATTATTTCCTCCTAACTTTCTAGCCCTACTTCTACTACTACTACTAGTAATATTCCTACTAGTAGTATAGCTAGTAGTAGTATTATAGACTTTTTATATAATAAAGAGGACTATAAACTAAAGCCTAATAATAAGTCTTTAGCTTATATATTTGAAAATAACCTTTTTACGCGGACTTTTTTACCTATTAATAAAGAAAAAGAGAGAGAAATACAAATTAAATATACTACGTAAGTATTTTATTTTTATTATAATTATATATAATTAGTTATATATAATTAGTTACTTTAACTACTTATATATAACTAATTATATTAATTAGTTTTATTAATATACTTCTTATACTAATTATTTAACTATTAGATATAATAAAGATTAGGTTATTAAAGTTAAAGGCTTTTTAATTTCTAACTTTATAAGGTATTATAAGTAATCTCATCTAATTATAGCTTATAACGAAAAATCTAAATTAACTAGATCTAAAAGTAAGTATCATTTTATATATAATAATACCCTTTAATTTAATAATATATATACTAATACTAATATTAAAATAAAAAGAAATAGATATATTACCTACTAGAGAGTCTTTTTTTACTAATAGTAATAAAAGACCTTATAGTAATACTATTTCTAGTTTTAAAGAAGAAGATATTTATATAAAGATATTAGATTTTATAATAGAAAATAACTTATCATTTAATACTATAGAATCTAATTCTTTTAAAGAGTTATTAAGTTATTATAATAAGTAAGTATTTAATTATAAGTTATAATTAATATTTATAATACTAATATTTAATAGTTCTACCCTTATAAATAATTAAAAGAAAATAAGGGCTTTATTAGACTCTTTTTATAGTAGATTTCTATCCCTTATTAATTTTGAAATTACAAAAAATATTAAAACTTTTAGAAGATTTTCTTTAGTTTTAGATATTTAGACTTCTAAAGCCTAAGATACCTTTTTAAGTATTATTATAAGCTATATTAATAGCGATTTTAAGCTTATATATAAGCTTATAGGTAAATATTAATTATTATTTATTATAATAATTAATAATATAATACTAATAATATATTTAGTATTTAAAAACCTTACTAAAGCCTATACTAATCTTTATCTTTATAAAGAAGTAATAGATAGTTTAAGTATTTATCCTAATTTAACTATAGATAAATTCTTTAGGTAAATTAGTAATATTATTAATAATTATATATATATACTAATTATCTATAGTTTTACTAGAGATAATACGTATAATAATACTACTTTTATTAATTCTTTTAAAGCTAATTATAAAACAACTTATAATAAGCTTTTTAAGAATAATATTAGATATATTACGTATATAATTAACTTAGTAGTATAAGATATACTATAAAGCTTTATCTCTAATTCTACTATAGAAAAAGAATTATTAGATTATACTAATAGTAATATTAGTATAATTAATAATAACTTAGCTATAGAAGAAAACAAAAATCTAGAAGAAAATCTACTTAGTAGTAAGTATTTTATTATATATAATATTAATAACTAACTAATTAACTAAATTAAATAGACCTTATAAAACAAATTTAATATATAACTATATTAATTAAATATATAGGCGAAATAAAACACTTTTTATTAGAAGGTATTAATAGAGCTAAAAACAAAAGTACTCTACCTTCTAATTTTAATAAAAAAATTATCCCTATAGATAAGTTATTATTATAGTATATACTTAAATTATTAAAATATATACTAATTAATATTAGATTATAAAATTAGGTGGAACTCTACATATAGAATAATTTCTACTACTATAGAGTTTAAACCTACTTTAGATTATATCTATAGAAATACTAGTAATTTAAAGTTTAAAAGACTTTATATTACTAAGAGTGAGTATAAGGCTTTAAAAGACTTAGAATCTATATTTTTAGTCTTTTTAAAGCTTAATACTCACTTATAATCTGAGCTTTATATTAACCTTAATATAGGGTTATTATATATATATACTATATATAAAAAGCTAGATAATTTGATCTCTAAGTTTACTACTTTAAAAGAGAGATCAGCAGAGACAGTAAGTAATTATTATTATTATTATTATTATTATTATTATTATTATTATTATTATTATTATTAT